ACATCAGTCATACTTCATTTGCCTATACCAGTCCTTGTCAGAAACACACCCACAAGCCCTTCTTCAACAACTGTTTGGCAAGTTGTCAGATAACCCACTTCCAATTGGCATAATTCTAGTTTCCCCATTTGTTAATTCTCATTCACCCACATTATTAAAATATTTAGGTGGAGATATGCTTGGAAAGTCTTCAAAACTGCTTATAGACAAAGCTGCTTCTCATTGCTCTAGACGTGTGCTGTATTTAAGCTTCATGCATTGTTATTGCAATGATTGATATGCTTTCTGCTGTAGGATAACTAATTTTAAATTTGCTTTAGTACATCCTTTGAGAATAAAAACAGAAAACCTAGCCATTTGTACAGAAGGGTGAAACCCAGACTGATGGAATTCATAATTATAAGATAATCTAAAAATAAAATGTTGAGTATTGTTCTGACATTAAATCTCCTAACAGGTTTTACAGTACTGTCAAATAATAAGTGCTAAGATAATGAAACTGTGATATACTTGTTCCTGATTAATGAGTATAACATGCGAAACCAATGATTCTTTGGTACTACTGAGCTGTAGAATAAAGTATGACAACTTGACAAATATAAAGATAATTGGGGAAAAAAACACAAATGTGTAATCATTAAACTTAACCACATGTGTACATACTCCCTACTTGAATGAACTTGTGACCAGTGTCATTAAAAATCAAAGAAACACGGTTGTTCATCTAAAATCTTTGTATAGTGTATTATGCGGGTGGCATTAACCTTTTAATTCCTTAATCAAAGCAAATTGTGTGGGAGGTTGAAAATTAACAGGTATTACACATTTCCAGGGCACAAAACTGGTATTCCAGCATTCACCCTGAATGTGTAAAACTTAGAAGGAAACAAAAACAATTCCCTGTCCCATTTTAAATAACGTCTAAGAATTGCATGTTCAATGTGATAAAACAAAATCCATTGATGATATGCATATTTTGTTAAAATAATTTCACTTTGCTGGAAGGGATTTCACAAATGATAACTAATACACCAATAGATTATGTTTTCAATATCGGGGGTTGTGGAGATGTGAATTTCCTGTGACTTAATATTATGGTAAGTGTTTTTGAAGAGAAACTGGAGTGCAGTAAATGAACTATGCATAAACAGGAAACCACTGTCCTTGGAAATTTTCACCTCCTTTGCCGGAGGCAGGCAAAGCCTGTGTTGCACTTCCTGAGACCTCTGCAAACCACAATCCCACTTACTGTAGCGCCAGCTGCAGCCAAGACACAAGGCTTTCACTACTGTAAATTAAACAGATGGGCTTAAGCATTTTGTAATGTGGAGTCCACAGTGGAATGAAAGTTGACATTTTTTCCACTGGTATTTTCCCTTTCAGCCATTTTATTATTTTAAATATACAGTACATTAGCTCAGAAGTACTTCTTCAATGAGTAACTCTTACAAAGGTTGTGCACATTGTTTTGGCTCAGCTGTTTTGCTCAATGTTTTGTGTCAGACAATTGTTTTTGTGATTAAACTAGGAAACTTTAATTTTTGGAGTGGAGGAAAGAGTGACATTATCCATCCGTCGTCGAGTTTTCCCAATACAGCATCACAGGGGACCCGGAGCCTATCACAGCAAGGATCAGCAACAAGAAAGGATCCGCCCTGAACAAGATGCCATTTCATCCCAGGGCACACAAAGACACAGACACAGATACACCCTCAGACCTGAGTTAATATTCCCAGAAACCTATTCACCTACCCATATGTCTTTGGAAATTTGGAGGAAACCGGAGCACCCATAGGAAACCCATGTGAATACAGGGAGACCACGCAAACTCCGTACAGATGCACCCCAGGTCCTTTATTGAGTCCCAGCACTGTGAAGTAGCAGTGCTAAACACTGCGCCACAGTGCCGTCCCATCCTGATAATGAATCACTAAAAAGTAGAATGAGACTAGAGTAGTCCTCCTGATTTATGGCCCTCAGATTTTGGGGATACCAATTGTTAATTAACTTGTTTAACCTCTAGAGCCCTTGTATCAACACAGAGCAGATGTGAACTAAATACACTGAAATTATCACTTCTTTTTCAAACAGTAAGCCCACTGTTCAATTAACCATTATCAGGTCTTTGTCAGTTGAACCAGTCAGTACCTGATTAAACACTATTAAAGTAAACCAAAGCATTCTGGTGCATCACTTTCTCACATGTAATGGTTAGTATTTACTAAAACATGTAAGGTATACGTGACCTCTGCTCTCTATAACTGGATTTGAAGCACTACTAGGACACCGTTGAGAAATAAAAGTTATAAATGTGATGGATATGTATAATAAAAGCATATAATAGATCATGTTGTATTGGAATTTCCCCAACCTCATAAATTGCATAATGTGTTTTAAAATATCCTCTGTTTGTCTTGTATATCACAAAATTGGGTAAACATAGGCAATAAGAAAAAAAAACTGACTTCCTCAATAGGAAAGTTTAAACAGGTACAGTATGTGCTTTGAAACACTTTAGAAATAGACCTTTTCTTGTTTCTATTTATATAAAACCTTTTCAGAGAACAGCATGATCAGTCTTTAGTAGTAAGATTCTTAATTTAAAAAGACACATAGTTGTATTTTTATGTTTTAGTTGCAAAATTAATAAGTAAATTCTTGGTTACTGGCCAGGATTAAATCAAAATGTTAAGCTTTCCCAGAACTGTCAAACTGAGCACTGTGATTTAATCACATATTTGGAATTTGCACATTGTGGATGGGCTTGGAGGTTTGATTTAATTCAGACTTTTACTTTTTCAAGAAGGTCTTTAAGTTTTGGAGGTTCAGGATCTCAAATCTAGGTGGCCAAATTTTGCTATTTGTTTCTGATCATTCAGTTTGAATAATGTGAACTATAATCATGATGGCGCACTATTACTGTAGGTGCATTCTATTGTTGCTCTAAAATACTGCACCATGGCACAATGGTTAACATTGTTACCTCACAGCATTGGGGGACTGGTTCATTTCATGGGGTGGTATCTGCATGGAGTTTTCCAAAGACACGCTGATAGTTAAAGTGGCTTCTACATTGTGTGCATGTTTTCTGCCTTGTACCTTTTGCTTGCTGGGATGGGCCTCTGCTTCCCCAAGATGGATGGATAAGTCTACTTAAAACATCAGCCTAATAATAGCTTCAGACAAAGTTATCATCTCCTGCAAGCATCCCAGCCCACCAGAGATGAATTATGATACCACTGTGTCACCAAAATGTCAAAACGCATGTTTGAGGGGAACTTATTCATAGCAATGATTGGAATAGAAGGTGTCAGATCAGCAGAAAGGTTGTGCAAGCTATAATGAAATCACAAACAGCATTGGGGAGAGAGAGTTCAGGTGTGTAGCTTCGTCAGCATGCGTAGGCTGCAAAGGAACAAGTAATTGGTTTATTCCATGGTGAAAAAAAGAAGAAAGAAAACACAATGTTTCAGCCATGGCCAAAACATTGTGTTTTCTTTCTTCTTTTTTGTGGCAATATTATAGCATCTTTCTTCCTTGATGACATGCACCTCGAAGTGTTAGTGGACTAGATTAAGTGCATCTGCTCTGGATGCCATAACATCTCTAATTGGGTAAAAACAGATGCGGGAGACAATGAACAAAGATAAAGAACTGCTGAGAACACTTCGTGCCTAAGAACACCATCACAGAGGTGTTTACATGTTTTTTATTGCTTTATTGAGTTCTGGCCCTAAACACATGTCTGCTAATGCCGACCAGAGATAGTCCTATTCCTCATTTCTGCATATAAAGATAGGATTTCACAGAGGGTTATCTATGACGATCAATACATAACATGTTACCTGCCAGGTTCTAATATATCCCACAGTATCTGTTTATGCATGTACAGTATAATTTCAGTCTGTATGCAAGCACTTTAGTATATATAGACTTATCATTATTTAGCAGGTGATGATAGCTAGTACTGTATATAGAAAAGGGTGCTTCTTTTTTTTTTCCATAATAATGAAACAACAGCAGTATTGATGCCTTTAGTAAACGAGTACTTCCTTATAGCCCTCTGCATCATCTCAAGTAGTGAGGGTCAGATTGCAAAAGTTGAGAAAAAATCTCTTGGAATATGGCATGAATGCCAAGAAACTTGCCTTTGTTCATTGTCTCCCGCATCTGTTTTAACCCAATCAGAGATGTTATGGCATCCAGAGCAGATGCACTTAATCTGGTCCACAAACACTCCGGGGTGCATGTCATCAAGGAAGAAAGATGCCACAATATTTGGCAGAAACTGATGAGTCTTTACTTCAGTACAACAAAGATTCAGTTGTTTATGTTTTCTGAACATACAGCATTACTGATAATTAATGACTGGGATAATTTCTAATGAAGGCAAGATGGTTTTAAGTCACCTCAGGCAGTTTAAGATACAATATGAGAGGGTTACCCAACCGATTGAATATTTAATATTTTCTGGCTATTTTATGGGTTCAGCTTGTCTCTGTGTGCAGAGTCAATTGACCACGTTAAGTAATGTGTAATGGGCTTTAAAGCAATTTCACTCAAAATAACCTTTTAGCCTTTATTAAAAGACTTTATTAAAAGTCTGAATTAAATCAAACAATACTATTTAAGCTAAATCTGGAAAACACCTTTAAATTGAAGAGCAAATGAGTCTTATTAATGTACAGTATGTGACATCAGTCTATAAAAGTTGAGAGGCTCTTATGCTCTTTAGCAGAGAACAATTGTTTGTCCATAATTTTTTGGTAATGTCTGTTTTAAATGACAAATACTCTAACAAAGGTAAAGGATGAAGGATAGAAGTTTCTGTGATAGACTGGTGTCCTCTCCAGGGTGTATCCTGCCTTTCACCTTTTGCTTGCTGGAATAGTCAATTTCTCTGGAGCCCTTAGATGAAGTGAATTATATGAAGTGGTTAGAAAATGGATGGATGGAAGGAGGTTTTGGAACATTAATTATTTTAATATATGTTTTTTCAGGTGCTGGGAACCCAAACTGTAAAATAGCTATTGTGTTATGCAGAAGCAAGTCAGCTGATTCCCTGAAAAGGTATATTAATCTATATTATATTATTAATTATATATCTAGTCTTTCACTGCTGATATGATATTGAATAACTTTGTTAGAAATGGCAATTAAAAGGGACACATTTTTTAATGTCCATAAATGAATTCAAAATTACATTGAACAGATCTGAAGCCATCAGATAAAGTATATAATTAACTAATTCATCAAATGGACACTTTTGGACTATTTGGTTAATTAGACTCAAGAACACACTGCCAAAGCCAACTGAAGGATGGAATGCTGTACCTTTTCTTGTGTGATTGAGCATGATGTTAATTCTTGCTAACCATTTTCAGACTTTTTGAGGTGGCTATCAGAAAAGTTTTAAAAATTCAAGCATGACATGCATGTTGCAATTAGAAAGTTTTCTTGTTTTAGTTCTTGTTTCCTCAAACTAACAAAACATGAGTTTACTACATCAACTTTCATATATATATACACATTCTAAAAGTTCAGGTAGGTAGCTGCATCAGAATGCGTAGGCTGCGAAGGAACAAGTAAAGGTTTATTCCATGCATGAAAGAAAAGAGACGTGTCACACCTGAAGAAGGCTCTACAGCTGAAACATTGTATTGCTTTTCTTTACAGATTGAAATAAACCTTTACTTGTTCCTTTATATACATTATATATACACATTAAATATATACAGTATGTTATTTTTTAAACTTGGAGCAGCTCATTTACAACTCCTGATAAATGAAGTACTTAAGTACTTAAACCAATTCTATGTGTATCTTCCTTGCTTATATTTGATTCTTAAATATATTCTTAAGTTTAGAGTCATCGGGAGGTTAATCCTGCTCCACAGGAAGGTTTATATGCCCTTTTATGGTCCCTAGGTGTAATTGTGTCTGTTCTGGGGCTTTCTTTCACAGAAAGTGACTCTCGGTTCTTCCCATGTTTTTTATTAGGATAAAATAGATATGACTACAAGCAAATACAGTGAACTTTCAATAAAGCAACAATAAAACCAAGCAAAATAATGCTGTAAGAAAAAATGCAACACTTTAGGCAAGAGGAACCTGCAGAAGCCTTTTCACTTTACATTTAAGAACGAATGAAAATGAGATGCGGAAGGACAACAAAACTGTTGAATAAATACCTGAAATAGAATTGTAGCTTGAGGTTATCAAAAATTATCCAAAGGGAATTGAGAAGTCAACAAAACGTCTCAGGTGCTCAGAATTTCCTACCAAACACTCCACCACTTTAGGGTTACTAGGCAAACTTCTGGTTCTAAGGGGAAGAAAGAAGAAGGGAGAGCACAGACCAGGAGGAGGGGAGAGGTGATCTGGGAAGAGAGGAGAAGATAGGGTGCATCACCAAGAGCAAGGTTGTGCTAGAGTTTTGACGATGGATGTCATCGAATTGAGCCCGAAGAGATTCCATTTCAGATTGCAATTCCAACAACTTTTTGCATAAAGTTTGGAGAGGTAGACATCAAAAGGTGTTTCTTTGAGTTGACTTGAGAAGAGGTGGCTCCACAGTATCAAAAGCCACAAGGTGTTGCATAGTAAGGTTTATATCTTTCAAGAGGAGCATAGAATAGTACCTTGTAAAACCATTACTTTTACACTCCTCCTTCCCATTCCCAGCAAACAGCAGGAGGAAACAGTAAAAGAAAGGATGGTAATAAAGGGTGGGGTGGAGGGCGGCATAGTTGCTCTGTAGCTCTGTGGAGGCAAGGCGTCAACAGGATGGGATGAGCAAGAAGGGAAGGCAGCAAGACATGGGCAAAAAGTTTGCATGAAAGATGTAAGGAGGTCAAGCTGAAGTTGCTTACCTGGTAAAAGAAACGCAGGACTGAAGGTGGATTCAGTTGCTGTAAATGTTGTGAGCAGCCTGCTGCTCCTGGATAGAGACTGATGGAAGTCAGTGTGACAAAACCGACAGCTGGGAGACTTGCAACAAAGCACTTTTCAGGTTTGGTTTCACTTTCAAAACAGTGGGAGTTTCCTTGGTTTTTGGCGTTGGCTCTTGGATTCCTTTGAGCATGCGGAACAAAAAAAAGGCTTTTTCGGTGAACTGCACGGGACGGTCTGCCTCCGGTGAGAGCAAAAGCCAGCAGGGGAAAAGGACGATGCAACATAAGAGGATGCAAATAACCAGAAACATGGGATTTAAATCCCATTTGACAGAATTCAGATTCTACGATCTGTTTTATTCTTTGTGGTGAATTATTGTGTAACAAAAAAAAGTTCTGTTACACTTGCTTACTGCCTTTCCATAAAAATAGTATTTTTAAAGAACAGATATAGTATAACTACTTTCTTTAATGTGGCACAGCTGAGGGACTTTATTAATCTTCCAAGATCAATGCCCCCTGAGCAGTTTCACCCACTATGAACACCTACTACCCTTCAACTGAAAAAAAAAGCAAAGCTTACTTGCCATTTTCTGTAACTTCATTTACAAAAAGAAAAGAAATGTAAAAGCCTAATGGATTTCCAGTCTGTTGCTCTAGAGAATTGTGTTTTGTTTTTCAGACATAAACAGCACAGTATGATTCTTGTCCCTTTAAACACACCGGGTGTAAAGATTATCAGACCCTTGACAGTATTTGGAGAAGATGGTAAGACATCATTTTTGCCATCAAATGTGTTTCAGCCTGAAATTGAATATGCCTGAATAGCAAACTGTCAAGTTGTTGTTTTGTCTCTTTTGTTTTTGTATTGTCCTTCAAAATAATTGTATTTGAATCCTGTGTATTTTACCAAAATGTTTGTGTTTCGCTTACAGTATGCTGATAAAATGCTAAAAAAGTCAGTGTATCACCAAATGTACTGTAATAAATCATTTGAAACAATATTAAATTAATAGGCTTGGCATTTATGGTTAAAGAGGTAAACACTATACTGATTAATTCATTACATACTCCAAAAAGTGAAATGCTTCTTGTATTTGGTCTCCTCAGATGCTCTCCATGGAGGTCACTTTGAGGTACATTTTGATCATGTCCGTGTACCTGCATCCAACATAATTCTAGGTAAGTTCATCTTAGAGCATTGCATTATACAGTATATTGATTACAAGAAGCTAAAATGCAAAACTGCTGTATGATGTATATTCTTTATTATTAGTCTATCCAAAACTAATAATTACACATTTTTATCCATATTCTGTCATTTATATTTCTGAGGATTAGTTACAACACTGCAGTTGTCATTCAGGATCTTAGGTTTAGTTGTAAATTAATTATGCAAGTAGAAACTGATTTAAATACTGAAAAACTACTGTATCTTTCTCTTTTCTCAGTTGTCACCAGGGGGTCTGTTTTAACATACGTGCACCGTAATTAGTCTTTTAAAAATAGGGATTGGCACATTAAATAACAGGTTTCATGCCTTTGCATTTGGAGCACACATACTGTACAAAAATAACTTGTTTCAATCCGGGCTATTCAAGAGGTCACCTGTGACTGTACTTTCCCAACAGGCACAAAATTAATTGGGCACCACTGGATTTTAACTTGGTTTGAAAAAGAGTATTTGTTTTGGTTTTGCAATGCAGTAGTGACCCCTTCAGCTACACATGCACCTCTTGTGAAAATAAGTATTTGACCTAATTTTATGGTCACACTTTTACTAAATGTTGTAGTTTAGTAGAGTACCTCATAGTTTCTTTGCTTTAAGTTCTTGAATTCATGAAGCAAGGCCACTGTAACTGTAAGAGAGTTTTAGAAATGTTGAAAGTCACAGAGAACTGAATGGATTTGGCCAATGAGTTACACAGCAGAACTTGGTCTTTGGTAGAGTCAGAAACATTCAACAGCTTTCAGATAATGTGGTGTTCTCTACTCATGCTATAAACTCTTAAGGAGCCTGGTACTAGACCATTTAGTGTATTATACTGTATATTAGCAGGAGAACCTTGAGATCCACTCTCATAGGATGTGAGTTATATACTGAAAGAGATTTAGTACAGGAACCTCAACATTCTTGGCATGCAGAGGCCTGTTTAGTGCCTCATTGTCACTTGCTGTTTTGACAGGAGAATGAAAGTTATTGAACCTATTTCTTTCAGGTGAAGGCCGAGGGTTCGAATTAGCCCAAGGTCGACTGGGACCTGGCCGTCTCCATCATTGTATGCGAGCCATTGGGCTAGCAGAGCGAGCTTTAGAGCTCTTGTGTCAGCGCGCAGCCAGCAGACAGACATTTGGAAAGAAACTGTACCAACATGTGAGTGTCTGAGGAAAAGAAAGTTTGCAACACCACTTCAAAGGAAGGAGATTACGTTTTGTTGTTATCACTGATAGGAGAACACAAATATGCAGCTGTCCTGTAAACTGGTTTAAGCACATGAGCCTGTCTTTCTGTTTGCAATGACAGGATTTCTGGTGTCCAATTTATGTAACTGTGCAGTTCAAATTTATTTTTATATTGCTAGCATCTAGCATCGCAAAGCACATTAGAAAATAAAAAAAATTATGCACGTACTGTAAACTGTAGGAAACTACAGTTTTCACTTTTCAAATGCAAGCTGAAAGTGAATTTTACTGACCACACAGAGACCCTCCTGTAGCTCCAGCCAATTCAACTAGATGCCTTGGAACAACCAGGAAGTCTGTGTTTTGTGAATCATAGAGGAAAATTAGAAACATGGATAAGGAAGGCCAATGCCCATTATGGACTTGTTGTTTTGTTATTCTAGAATAAATATTGCCAAAGCATCTGTAACAGTTTATGCTAACTCAGGGTTTACCAGTCAAATGAAAGATAGTGATAATAGCACTGGAATTCTCCATGGTAAAGTGCCAAATGAACATATGGTCTCTCACCAAATTTTGGCCACTTTAATGGTAGAAAATTGACACATACAGAATGAATGGGGCTTGTTAAATTACTTGGATCCATATCTGTATTTTACTACCCTCTGATCACACTCATTGCCTTATCTACTTAAAACGTTTGGAAGAAAACATACAACAATGCCAAATGTATGACTCTACCTCAAACACAAGCACATAATAATGGCTTGAAATTACAGGCCATTTTGCCTTTTTAGCGTCTTTATTCTTTTACAGTAGCTAATTGATCCAAGGATCTGATCCAGTTGTTTCTTGAAAGAAGCCAGAGTACTGGCTTCATCACCATTCAGGAGCTTGCTCCATACACCCACAACCCTTTGTATAAAAAGTAATTCCTGATTTCAGTTTTAAATGCACATATAAAACATATAAATAGTGTTTTACTGTTGATTGGCTATGCAGATGAATTTATCAGCGCCTTGGAGAAAATGTAACACTTAAATCAAGTCATTTCCAAGACTTTTCTTTTGAAGATCATCACATTTAATATAAAAAAAATCAAATATACAATACATGCACAAGAGAATCATCTGTTGAGCAGGGGTATGGCCACAGGTATAAATGAGAATTTTAACCTGTTTATTGGCAAATCTGTATCTGTGTTCAGTGGAAGCCTAGGAATATACTTTATTTAATTTCCCTTCTCTGAGCTAATCCAGAGCAGGAATGTGTTTTTCATACATACTATCCTAAATAAATCTATTTACAAAAGTTAAGAAAATCAATTAATAATTACTGTATACTAGCATGGACTGTTTTCCTGTTATTGTTTGATTGTAAACAAAAAACAAACATCAGTTCTTAGAACATTTTAAGTTGGTCTCTTCTTTGAGACTAAATATTTTTCTCTAAAGAAAAACATAACTGTAAAACCATAAATCAGCAAACCTGTAATTTGTTTTTGCAAAATTGAAGTGAAAATAACGTTTTTCTTGGAACAGTTTTCAACAGTGATACAGATGTTTGTTTTGTGGAGAAAGGAAAAATGGAGTAAAGAAACTCATTACTTAACTATTGCCCCATAATGGTTCAGTAAATGCTGACCAGAGGAGGTAATTATGTATACAATGGACTCTATGTATGTATACTAAGTATACAATGGGGGGTATTTATGTATACAACTGGTTTAGCTGCTTGTTTAATGCCAATTGCAATTAATAAAATAGAAACTTCTGAAATATTCTGTTATGCCCCATTGATACTTGTTTATGAAGGAGTATATCAAACAATTTGTTCAGAAGATACAAATACCAATAATGTAGTTAGAATGGGCCTTTGTTTGAGGGATGACTGCCTGGCCAAATAGTTGGAGAAGTCAGTACCCCCATTACTGAATTGCGTGTGCAGTCATTGTGAGCATTATGAGCTCTGAGAAAACTGATGTCTGTTTAGACCTGTTTATGCAGATGAACCAGTGACAGTCTAGTTTTAAAAGAGAAGGATATACAGTACCTAAGTTTCCAAAAAGATATTTCTAGCTGTGCACATAGATAGGTGCTGTGGCTTTACTGGTATGAATAACTAATTTCTAGTGGTTCCTGGTGAATATGGGATAAATACATTTATTTCATCAAAGTAATTTGCTCTTGCTTTGTTGAAGGATAAGCTACAATACAGTATGTACTAAATACCAAGTGTCTTCAAAACATGCAGTCTTTCTTTAAATTCCACTAATAACTTGTCTATGTTAGGGTGGATAATGAAATGTATTAGAGATTTTCTTGTGTATTTCAACATAGTTTTTCTGCTGTTTATTTAGAGCAAATACTTTTGAACTTTTGTAGCAATCTGGTGCCATCTAGAGCTTAGGAATACATGTTATTCTGTATTGTTGTTTTATTGTGGATTCAAGCATTTCCTCAGCACTAATAACACTCTTGTTGACTGGGGGAGTATGTCACAGTAACTGGGCAGAAGATCCTTGTTACCCATCACACTCTGAACATCAGCAGCCCTATTGGATCATGTGCTAAATACAGTCTAAAGAAATGGGTCTTGAGCCTTGATTTAAAGGCAGAGGCCCTAGTGGCTTTTTTTTTTTGTTTTGGGAGGTTGTTCCACAACTTAGAGGCCCAGTATTTAAAGGGTGTTCTACACACAGCTACTGTGGAGATTCTGATCCAATTCAGTCCATTTACTACAATCTGGAAGCCGATGAAAATATGCTAAAAATCGAGATCTAGGGTTGCTTTTTTTGTTTTATTAAAGTGACACACAGTCATATTCTGAATGAGGTGAAATCTGGATATAATGCAATTTAGTGTTGCAGAAAAGACTGGACTGCATGTAGAAAATGTGTGCATTCGTTTTTCTGTGTACTGTGTTGAAAGAAATCATTTTATTTTGGAAACATTTCTAATATGGAGAAAGCCTAATATAGAGAGCGGTTAGAAAAAGGATGGATAGTTTTGTTAGTGTTTTTTGGATGGGTTGTACTGTACATTAACAATTCTCTAGTCCATGGATTCTGTACCTGTCCTGTGGAAGAGTTGCATAAAGGTTCATCCATTTTCTAACCACTTCCTCCCATTCAGGGTTGTGTGGGAGCTGGAGCCTATCCTGGCAAGAAATGGGCACAAGGAAGGGTATATCCTGGATGGGATGCCAGTCCATCACGGGGTTTTCACATACTCATACAGGCACAACTGCAAAGCCACATACACTTGTACCTGCTGTAGGGCCACATTTCCTAGAAGCCAATTAACCTACCAGTAAGTCTTTGGATTGTGGGAGAAAACCCATGCAAAACTGGCGAAAACATACAGTACAGTACAAACTCCACACAGATAGCAGCCCTGGTCTGTAATTGAACCCAGTGCCTCAGCACTGTCCCACTACATATGAATTGAAAAAATGCCTTGAGAAAACCAGGAATGTTTGAGTGTTACATGGCTCCCTGAGCTAAAATATCAGCGTGTTTGTTTCTTTTAATCATGTTGCTCTTTTGATGACTGCAGGAAGCTGTTGCCCATTGGATTGCCGAATGTCGCATTGCCATCGAACAAGCTCGCCTGCTGACTCTCAGTGCTGCAAATGCCATTGATGTCTTAGGAAACACAGCAGCAAGGAAGCAGGTATGTTAAAAGTGTTATTATGTGTCTTTATCAACCTTATAATGTATTGCTTTTTGATATTTTGCATGTCATTTTAAACACGTTTTTATGTCTACATTTTGTCTATTGTCTACACAACAAAGTTGTCCTTTGCAGATTTATATTGTGATCCTGTGTCAAAATGACAGTAGGTTAAGAACTGACATGAAGATCAGCTGGAGATAAAATAAAGAAGATACAGTATGAGGGCTTCTGTCATTTTGAGGAACATTAGGTATTTTCAAAATGAACAAAATCTCTAAATGAATGAAGTCAGCAAAAAAGTGACGAAGAAAACGTCAAGTTTCTTAGTGGAAATTTGAAGTGCTTTACAAAAATTAAGCTTTAATTTCATAACTGTCTAGAGATGTCTAGACAGAGCTGTGAATCAACTAGGACTATTTCACTGCAAGGTACAGTATTTAGATAATGTGCTGTGGAGCATTAGACCTGCAAACACTGAATACTATTTAATTTCTGAAAACATGCAGAAATCATGTATTGTCTTCATGAACTTGGTCATGTACAGAAGATTCACATGAAAAAGGAAAAAAACAAAATGAAAAACATTTATTATTATGGGGTTATGAAAAACAAAAATTAAGAGATTGAGACCAACAATTTTTTTTATAAAGTGAGTATAATACTCTATGGACACAGAGTATTATAGTAGCAATGAAGAAGCTGGAAGAAGAAGATTCTCCCCGAATAATGCCCCCCAACGTTTGTTCTACGTTGTTATTATAGGCGTTCATGTTACAGGTTGTTAGAGTTTCTGTAGCATTCTGGATGGCAGTGAAGTTCATTAATGGGCTACTCCTCTCTTGCAGATTGCAATGATTAAAGTAGCTGCTGCTAGAATGGCTTGCAAGGTGGTGGACTTTGCCATTCAGGTTCATGGAGGGGCTGGCATGTGTGGGGACTTCCCATTAGCTCAAATGTAAGTAGGAAACTCAACAATCACTGACATTTATTTCTATGGTGAGTATAGAATATGGGCCTTGCAATACAATCTCCATTCTAGTCAATGTGAGCAGAACAGTCTGCACTGTTTGTGATATACAGTACTGTAACAATGGCTTTGCCTCATAGTTTTCTGTTCTAAACATTGTTGTAACAGTTTGTTGTTTACTAGCTCCTTTGAAAACATGATAAGCATATAAACCTGATTAGCATATACTTTCTCTTAGCTATTGTAGTGAAAAAAATACTGTTTCAAATATCATATTAATACTTATATCAATACAGGGAGCCTTGTTCTAAAAAAGTGGTTGTTGGAAAACTATTATTTGTCCATTATTATTATTCCATTCTTATTGGAGGAACATACTTAGAGATTTCTGGAGGTTTGAAATGGACCAAGTTATTAATAAGATTCATAAGAAGATTGGTAGTTATTAGCTACAGTGTAACAAATTAATCCAATGGGTCTCTCCCAGATATATCTTTTGAACAAAGATTTCTATAAACCCCTTGCTGTCTGCCTTCTTTGCATGCCCTACAGCTGCATCTAAACACATCAGATTCACCCTGGGAGCTACAAACATCCCATTCACATTAGCAACTCAGTGACAGAGTTCAAATCTAACATTCAGAGAGTACTAAGCTGCTATTGTTAGTATGAACTGACAGCCTGTGCCTGCAAAAACATTGGAGCATTCTAGCAAAAATATCTCAGGCTGCTATACTTGTTTGGACTATTAGTATTTTTGTACTGCTAACCTTAGAGTGAGGGTCTCATCATATGTTATTTGCAACTTAAAAGACTAGATTGGCAAGGATAATAAGCATTAATTTGATAGGTTAATGATCAGCACTGCTGTACACAACTACAGCACCTACTGTACAGAGAAGGCACTTGAAGTACACTGACATGGCTGAATCTAGACATGTATTGTACTTTACAAATTTATTTCCACTCAAATTAATGTTATCAGATGATGATGAAGTTAATATCCAAATGGTCCCACATTATTTGGTCAAAATCCTTTTTTGTATGTGGAAACTGAACATTTACTGTAAGCTTTTTGATATTAAACAGCACATGGATCAGTTTGTCAAGACAGCAAAAATACATTATACATGTACTGTATAGTGTTGCAGTTACACACATTACATATTGTAGCCAACACTTTGATGGATGCAATTGACTCTTTGACTCTTTATAAGTGTTAAACTATTTTACATCAAATTAATTAAGGCGCAGATCGTTAGCCACAGAGCCACCGCACCGACCTCTGAACTGCTTTAAAACAAACTCTTTATTTGTTTTTTACATTGTTTATTTTTTATATATCAAGAGTAGTGATTTCAGTGTCTGTTAACCATGCCCTTTCTTACAGGTATTCCTATGTGCGGACACTGCGCATTGCTGATGGCCCAGATGAGGTCCATCTGTCGTCCATAGCCACAATGGAACTGAAAGACCAGTTGAAGAAGTTCTCTGCTAAGCTGTGAAACTGGAGATGGGGTGTTTAAAAGTCATAGTATAACACAGTGTTGACTGCACACTATTTTATTATAAAAAAAAGAAATGGGATTTATTAGAGAGCATATTATCAACATCACAGGATTGAAAATCGGCACTTTATCAGAGCATACTGTATCTGTATCATAGTTTTCTTTTCTAAACAACATGAAGTGTGCCTTTAACTACAGGATGTCTTGGAATATATCCTTTAAAAATACTACAAAATTACTTCCTGACTTAATTTTTAATCAGCAGCAACATTAATATGGCTAATGATAACACAATAAACCATATATAATTTGGACCAAATTATAGTCTTTTGACTAAAATGGTAAATACCATTGTGAGTTACTTATTAAATCCAATTTCATTTGTTTTCCTACATAGTTTAATGTAAGTGTACTACATTAATGTTCTGTTATACAGTGTAGTGTAATGTGACATAAGTAGCTGATCAGAAAACATTACTTCTGAGCATTTTATTTTGTTGGATTTATAATTTCTGTAAATTTGTCTTACATGCATAATCATGGTGTCAAAATTTTGAAAAAAAAGTTGAAAATAAACATTGAAATGTTTTCTTTTAGATCTTTATTTGTTAAGAACAACAACTGTATCTTTGAACAAAATGGAAAAGCAAGATTTATCCCTTTTTATACCCAAAGTCTATTAGAATGAATCTCCAGCAATCTGTTAATGCCACATTGTAAAAAAATAGTGTTTTCAAGCAGCATTAATTTGGGATTAATACTCAAGAAACATGGTGCTCATTGGTTATCATTGTAAAGCTAGAAGGTCTCCAACCTTCAGTCACATTTTCATTTTACTGTTTTTAAAGCTACTCATCTGAAAGTATGACATGCAGCACTAATTAAGCCTATGCTTGCACTATATTACTGTATATAATGGGAAATACTTTACTATTATGATGAGAAAACACACAGTAATCATTGCAGATTATGTAGAATCTTCATCAAAACCCCTATTTTTTACATAAATACACAAGGCAAATGAAGTGAAAATATAAACTAATCTGCCAAAAAAGTGATCTTTATTACCTGTTATCTGTTTACAGTATTTTGCTTGACAGTATTGTAAGTCCTTCTCATTATAATGAGAAATGCAAATAACTTTTTTCCCCACTTATGGGCCCCAAAATCCAAGTCATTGTAGGGTTAGTGTTTTAATTATACCACTCTGGGTATTTCTAAGATACTGTACCTAAAACTCACCCTTGAACCAATATGGGGAAGCAATTTCTGGCATCTCTCCCTGATATACTGAGATATACATACTGAGAGGGATGTCAGCACAAACAAACACACACGGACAGCTTAGATGCACAGATCTAACCAACACGTCTTTAAAAGGTTTGGAGAAAACAAGAACTGAATTATTTCATCTTCTGTTTTGATTTAAATATGAAAAAACTTTTGGCCCCACTGTGGAATCTTTTAAGCCCCCACCTCAAGACTCAATATTATGGCAAGAACCAAAGAAGTGCTCACCACCTCTGAAGGATTCGGGTCCTGACAACAAGTCCTACAGTAGGTGTCAGAATAGAGCTTTGTTAGAATCCTTCTTATAATCTTTTTCACTACAAAATGCTGTCCTTTTTACCATTAATGAATTCACACTCACTCATTGTTTGTTGTTTTTTTAAAAAAAGAGTTTACACACAATGTTAAAGTTTTCATTTTTTTTTACTTTAAAAGTATCATGCTGGTAAATTGTTGTTTTCCATTTAGTCTTATTACAAAAGTCTACACAGTATACTGTATACTGTATGCTCTACTTCAGCTGAGGCTATAATTTTTTGCAATACAAACATACACTCGTGTAGTAAAGAATTTCCAGCGGTCGAATACACAAAAATCATCAAAGTGTTTAAAGGAAGGCAAGACTGATATATTTATTCACACATTTGAATTCACTCTTTTTCAAATCTTTTCAGAAAGATTGGAAAATAATTGCTTAATAGGAGCTTCTGTTCTATATCTATATTTGCAGTAAATATTCATACAGTGGTGAATGATCTTTGCTTTTCTCTCCTCTTTTGTCTAATATAAGACATTCCACATGTTCACTGTTAGCATAGTGCAAAAGTTCTGGTTGTGATTCTAGGAAGGAAGCAGATTAGAGTGTAAACGTGAAGATACCACAGCTGTGTTAACTACATACTGTATGATACAGAGTCATTTTCAGGAATTCAGGCTTCATACAACATTCCGTTGAGCTCAAAGAATGTGTTGCCAATCATTTTTGTAACTTGCTCATCAACAGACGATTGTCTTGATTTTTTTCTTCTTTGCCATTAAATTCCGCTTGACTCTTGATCCCTGTGGAACAAAAAAGAGGAGGGAAGTCTGATTTTACCACAGATATTACATTATAAGCGTTGGGTTAATAAAAAAGGAAAAGGTAAAGTTTCAGCTCATTTCACTTCACACAAAAAATATTTCAAATAAAAAGGTAATAGCTCTATTGAAGTACAGTACTTCATTTTAGTTTGAGCAAAAATGTTTGATAATCTAAAATGCTCACAGCAGTGGTGATCATGTTTGAGTAAAATTGAGTAAATGTAATTTATTTCTTGATAACTTGCTTCAATACAAAGCAGTAAGGTCTTGTTATATAGTGCGTCCAAGTCTTGACCCCAATTTTTTGTTTGTTTTACATTTAAGGTACCTTCCATATCTAAAAACATGCATGTACAGTATGTTTTAGAGAAGACTGTTAACGCCATTTCCATTCTAAGCTAAATACTTGCATTTTTTCCAATAATCCATTGAGAGATTGGGAAGAAAAATGACAACTCGCATAGCAATAAACAATAACTGATTTTAGGAAAGATCCACAGTGTTTTAATGGCAGAAAATGTCCAGGAGTCAACAATATCCTGGTGATCTTAACTGCTGCATGGAGTCTGCAACAAAGCATTTACTGTAAGTTATACTGCAAAAATGGGGCAAATGTTGTTTGTTGAAAGCAAGAACTTTTTGGTCTGAAAAGAAAATGTTTAGTGGAAACGATACAGCACATCATTCTAATTTTTCGTCTATGCTGATCTCTGTTTTTTTGCTTGAATTGGGATGGACTGCTGTAACACATCAATTTCCCTTTGGGATCAATAAAGTCTTATCTATCCAGACAGTACCATCCCTTCTGTCATTATGTTATGGAGCTGGATCTCATTGGCAGGGCCTGAGAATCTGGTCAAGACTGAGGGGAGAAATGAAGGAAAACCTTCTTTCGTCTACCAAGGATCTAAAACTGGGATAAAATTCATCTTTCTGCAGATCACAGTTACACTGGATCAGCTTAATGAGAGTAAAGTGAATATTCGGTGGCATTGTCAAACTCCCCTCAGAAGTCAGGGCCCAAATTGCTAGTCAAATATCTTTAGCAGGTCCATTTCCTTCAGGTCTGTCGGATGGCAATTTCTGCAAGAGTCTCACCCTCAGTCAACTATTTCCAGACTCATCATAAAACCAAGGAGCTGCTGAGCTGCACTCCCAATCCGAAAGAATATCTATGGTCAAGATTGGAGAATTGCTATACATCAGCAATCTCCAACGAACTTCACAGAGCTTAAACACATTTAAAAAAAGGATGAGAATTGCAGCATCCTGGTGTGCAAAGGCAAGCAGTAATTCAGGGAGTGAATCCATACTGTTTACTTTATACTGTAACATCAATATATTTTAGTTTGGGATTTTGCTTTGCAGATTTTTCTAATAACTACTATACCCATAAAACATGTTTAGATTAACGAATCAAGTTTTGATTTAAATATTTTAATTTTTTAAAATTATTAAAAAAAATGGGTTCACCTAATTTATAATTCAAAATCTTTGGAAAAATACTGTAGGAATGATTTACTCAGGTATGGTTATGTGAACGGGATAATTGTTTAATTGTTTGGCCCAAGGGTGGCCAAAGGCTAAATACTGTATGTCTCAAGACATCTTCCTAGGTCTCGTCCCATTAAGTAGAATTTACATTGCCATTTTTGAAAAATAATCGTTATTACATTTTCTAGAAAATGCTTGTAGATGTACAGTACAGTGTGCTCTTCTGTGTCTTACTGTGTAACAGAATGAGAATGGGGGTGTAAAAACAGGGTTGAGCCAGCAGAGAGCAGCATTGAGTCACTCCCAAAACGACGAAGTTCAACATTTCCAAGAGGATATTATGGAATTGGTTGCACCTGTAGGCGGCCGATTCCCTGTAAATAGATTAAGAAACCCCCTCACAGTCTTCCTGATGTTAGACATTTGTAATAATTTGAAAGATCTGGAATATACTGGACCGTTACAAAATGAAACAAAAGCATTAAAATTGGTATAAAGGAAAGAACCAGGCTCACCCTAAGTAGCAGCCTTGATCATTGCCGTGCCAGTCTACTAGTAAGAAAGAAGATGGGAAGAGTAAACTGGCTTAAATGGGATCAACCAAGTTAAGGCTACATTCCACTGCTACTTACCGTCTAAAGTAGGGGCTAGATGTACAGTTAAACAGACGTGAAACAGGGCTGGGTAGGTTTAATAGGGCTGGATTGTATGCCACTTAAACTCCCACATACAGGGGAGGTTTTATTTGCAGGTTCCCTGCTACTAATTAGTTTTTTGTCAACACAGTACCAGATTCTGAGTTTCAGAATGCTCTTATTCAGGTGTGTTGCTCTCTCTTGTTTAATTGATTAACTTACAGCATTAGAGCTGCTGACTCACACATAATGGCAAGCAAGGAGTTGTTGGAAACAGTCATCAAAGCAGAGTAACAGTTAGTACAGTAAGCGAGTTTGGAACTCAGGACTGACCACAGAAACAAGTTAAATAAATGTCTAATGAAGCAAGCAGATCAATAATAGCATCAATTACCATTAGGGAATGAAATTCAGTTTGAAAGAAATCCAGAAGATACAGTATTCCTCCAGAGGAAACCATTCTAACGAATGGAAATAATTCTAAAGAATATGAAATCTTACCCTTTTGCTGGCTCAAACCCCAAAGTGATCTAAATGCTAATTAAAGCTTGAGAGTGATATTATTCTTTCTCTTGGTTTTATTTCTTGAAGTGATGCTCACTTTTGTTGGAACCCTGGAGACTTCAAGAGCTGAAAAAATGTCTCAGAATGAAAAGGCTTCTTGAGTTTCTTCTTCTCATTCTGTAGAGATCTCTTTGTTCTTTCAGGTTGAAATGTTAAACTAATAGGACAGACCGTTCTTTTAACTGGATTATCTCTGCATTTTCTGTCAGGTTTGTACAACACCTCACACACATTTGCAGTTGAATCTAGAATGTATGGTCAGTAATCATAATGAAACAACCTACTTTAGATACACTCTAAGAGAAGATCCTTGTCATTCTGAAAACAATTGTATAGCTACGGTATATGACATGGGAAAAATGTTGCTTATTTTTAACATTTTTAATGTAAAATACTGATGCATGGCTAACCATTATATTTAAACTGTTCCATTTTCTGTGCCAATTGTTTATATTTAAGTCCTCATTTATTCATTTAATTTCTCATAAACCAGGATTGCATGAAGACAGTGTTTGGTATTGTAAA